ACAGAGATCTCTGTGGAGGTAAATCAAGAGAATAGATTGAAGGAAAATGTTGAGGGCGACCTTCAGTCAGGAGACTTAAATGGGTCTCCATGGTTAGAGGCCTGGACTCGCTTGTCTAGGGTGGGATAATCTATGTAATTGGATAAATATCTGTGAAATACATAACAATAAACATTTGTAAAATATAGTATTTGAATGTGTGGGTTTTAACAAAATTTTAAGAAGTAGACAAAAACACAGAATATTCCATGTGTTATCAAAGGGTTGAAGCATTTCTAAATTCATTTGGTTTATAAGGAATCATCCAGTTGTGCAGAGAAGCTAATTGACTTTATTGAGGTCAACTAGTAAGTTATAGTAGAATAGTTAAGGATTTTGACTTTTGAGTTATACATTGTGATTTAAATTCACTGGTTTGGCAAAAGATGATGGGAGGCTTCTCTCCCCCTAACTTCAGAATATACTATGTTTATAGAATATAATATGGTTTTATAACCATAGTAATTAAAAGAGAGTGGTAATGGAATAGACAGATTCTCAGACCAGTGAAAGAAAATTGACAGTCCATAGTTAAATTCTCAGGTATTTAGGCAGTAGTAAAGTTAGATTTTTAATAAAGTAGAAGCATATTATGAATTAAAACAATGTTTTGCATAATATTTGAAATCATCTTTTTTTAAAAAAATATATAAATGTTGAAAAATGGTGGAGGGAGCAGGTTGCATATGTAAAAAAATGTCTAAAGAAATCAAACAGAAGAATTCCCAGATTGTTATCATTCTTTTTTTTTTCCTCTTTGGGTCACACCCAGCGATGCACAGGAGTTACTCCTGACTCTGCCCTCAGGAATTACTCCTGGTGGTGCTCGGGGGACCATATGGAATGCTGGAAATAGAACCTGGATCAGCCTTGTGCAAGGCAAACGCCCTGCCCGCTGTGCTATTGCTCCAGCCCCCAGATTGTTTTCTTATGCTCTCAGATATATTATTCTAATGAGTTTCTGGTGTGGCAAGTCACATGTTTAACCTCTTATCCTAGTTCCTGAAACTCTTCAGGAAGAATCTACTGAAAGAACCTATCATAATGATTACGATTCAGAATGGTTTCTTACTGACTAAAAAACAAACAAATCATTTTTTTACCTAGAATTTATTTCTGGTTATATGCAAATTTAAAATGATATGTTAACATCACTATCAGAATAGCATAAATTACGCTATGCCTTTGGAACAGGATGTTGGCATAAATGCTGTGTTATTTTATTTTACAAAATCTGTATAGTATATGGTTTATCATATGTATTTTGCTTCCTTGCAGTATATCAGTATTTTGTGACACAAGTCAAGTTTAGATTATAGAGCCCAATGCTAAGGAATAAAATTTTAGCTCAAAGATGCTCTGGCCCAGTCAAAATATTGGCATCTCCTCAAAGTGACTTTTGTTATGTAATAACATTCATACACAGATAAGAAATACTGCCTTGGCAGAAGAGGTGCATCTGGGGTTTCATTGACTTTATTTTTAATTTAAAAAAGGCGGTTTCCTTCGATTTTGCAGTATTTTTAATATTGTCAGGATTCCTGCATAATAAATTGCTATCCTTACTTCAAAGACTCCTAGTAATATTAGTATTTGAAACCTATTAGGGATACTTCTTAGATTCCAGAAAAGCATGTTTATGTTTGTTATATTAACTTATTGCTGGAGAAACCTTGCCCTAGTTTCTAGCAGGGCAAAGGTTTCTCCAGGGTTCTGATGCTTTTCTCCAAGCTTTTCTAAGTAAGACTTTATTTCAGTAGACCAAACTAGACCATTTCTAATGTGGTCTGTCATGATTATTTTGGCTTACAAATTTATTTGGATTTTAAACATATGTTAAATCAAACTCTGTAGGGAATCGCATAAAAAGGTGGTGGGCAATGGGCACTGGTGGAGGGATGGGTATTTGATCATGTATAATTGAAACCCAAGCACAGAATGTGTAAGTCTACAACTGTACCTCATGGTGTCTCACTAATAAAAATTTAAATAAATAAATAAATAAATACGTCAAGTAAGGTGCTTGCACACTGCTGACCTGAATTTGATTCCCGGCACCACACATGGTCTAGGAGTGATCCCTGAGCATAGATGCAGAAGTAAACTCTGAACACATCTAAGTGTGGCCCTAAAACAAAACAAAAGAGTCTCATGCTGGCAATGCCTGTTACCATAGCTTTTGTTTTGTTAATGTGAATTTTTTATTAGCGGTAGCACAGCGGGTAGGGCGTTCGCCTTACACGCAGCCAACATGGCTGACCCGAGTTCGATTCCTCCGCCCCTCTCGGAGAGCCCGGCAAGCTACCGAGAGTATTCGATATGCCAGACACAGTAACAACAAAGTCTCCAATGGAGACGTTACTGGGCCCGCTCGAGCAAATCGACGATCAACGGGAGGGCCTTTACCTTTACCTTTACCTTTATTAGCGGTATTACTATATCATTATCATTTTAATCTTGAATCAGTGGTGTCTGCAAGGAAACCAGCAAAATGCTTAAAATACAAAAATAACAATGACACATGTGGCTCCTGATTTCACAAAGGGCCTAAAAAATATTCAGATCTATTATTCTTGTCTGTAATTTGTCTGAAATCTGTTAAATAAGGTTCCTCATTCAGATATGTAGTAATTATCTTGCATATTTATGTGTCGGGAAGCTATTTATATCCATATTTTATATCTCAGTTTACAAGCGTGAGGTTATTTTTGCATATCTTTGTGAATACAAACACATATGTAAACTACCAGATAAATAAGACTGGTCAAATGAATTCTCACTGTGAACTCTTTTAGCACTAGTGATAAATATAACAAAACTTACAGAACATTTTATGACTTGAAATTATTTCTATTACCTTTGTTATCACACAACATAGTAGGATAGCAGATTTTTGCATTCAGATTTTTAGGGGCACCCAAGTGTTATAGAATAGAAATGACTTGTTTCAACCCACATATCCTGAGCTATTTAATCTGGATTCTGAATGGAGTATTTGGGCTATAGTTTCTGCCCTAATCCAATAGCAGACACAATGCCTTATAAATATCAAATAGAATATATATTTTTATTTTATGAAATATGTCCTAGCATTAAAAGGAAAGTGAATTCATATAAATATAAATGTTGTTGCTATGAGGAAAAGCTGACTTCTTTTTTTTTAAAGCATGAGTAGCAGTTCACTGCGCCTGCAGTGGCATTAGTCAGTCTATTTCTCTTGTTCAAGTACTTATGTTCACAGATCCAGCTCACAGATGTTAGTTGCCATGAATATGTATCAGCAGCAAGTGTGAACCACAACTTGTAGTAGCACTTACAAACCTCACCTCATATACACAGCTGGGCATCTGTTTATGGATTTCTCCATTTGTATTCTGTGTTGCTCTTATCTATGCCTTTTCTGTCCTTTGTGTTTATTCTATCATATGAAGTTAATTTTATCTATTTTCAAAGACATTTTACAAGAAATATCTATTTCTGACATTTTACATAAAAAGTAGGAACATTCAGTATGCTCATCACGTACCTAATTGCATTTCTTTTGAAAAATTCTCTTCAGCACAATACAAGTTTCTGAATATTAGTGGCAATACATATTATTTCTACATTTAAAAAATTCAGTGGACCAGAGAAAATTTCAACCAAGTATCACATAGCCAAAACAATCATTTTTTAAAATGTAAGTAATAAATTAAATATGGATGTTCATTTTTATAGACTAAGATAGAGTTTCTTGATAAATCTCATTGGAAGCATAAAAATCCATTTGATAATAAGAAAGATTTTGGTTCTATTTATGTATTGTTAATTAAATGGATTTTGAATTTTTATTGTTAAAAGTATTTAAAAATTCTAATACATAACACTGTAATTTTAAGTTAAAAAAGAAATTTGTACTAAACAATCCTCTACTTAGTGATTTATAATCAGCAAATTTAGCTGCTTCTAATTGATGCATTTATTACTTTCATGGATATTGGTTGTATTACAGTAAATAAAGAATTTTCCCTTATATAGCTTAAGTATTAGTGGAAGAAATACAGTTATTTTTTAAGCACACCAGATAATTCTAGATTGTGATGAGTCCAAGCTACCAAATGTAGGAGATGGAGGGAGGCATTGTAGCCAACTGGTCTCGGTGAGGGAAGAGAGGGAGGAATCTAGGATTAATCTAGGCTCACGAACACTGAATTATTTCACAAACAGGAAAACAGAAATTAGTGGAACCCAAACCTTAATGAAGCCGTCCTCAAACTCAGGAGACTAACTATCCATATTAAGCCCACCACACAGCTGAGGAGCACTGAGACTCACACCTCTACCTTAGGGACTGCATCCCTCCAGTCCCCTGCATTCCTTATCTGAGCTCGCCTAACATGTCTTTGATACAAAAAGTCAACATCTGTATGTATCTGATTTGGGGTCTCTTGGATCTGTATCTGATTTTGTTTCTCTATTTCCAAGAAAAGTATAATGAATCTCAACGCAGGGTAAACCAAAGTTAGGAAAAATCAGCATCATTTTCTGTTCTACTTTATTGTACAGAGGTTCATTTTTATAGTGCCTACCACATGGCTGTTGCATCTTAAAACTCATGTGTGGATTTTTCTCATGCCTTTTGTTGCCTCATTGACCAGAAAGCATACTGATCAGTTGTATAAAATTATATATTGTTGGCTCCTTCTTGTAGGGAGAGAGATTAATGAATGATAAATGATGAGAGATAAATTATACAAAGGGACATCTTTATTTTTCTGGAATAAAATGAAAGTTCTCCTTACTACTTGGCATAGGTGGAAGATCAAAAAATCGCAGGAATTTGAGGTTCCTTAGGACATTTAAATTTTCGGCCAACTCAGTCTCCTAAACACACAATTCTATTCTCTTGGATACTTGGATCGAATTTTCCTATCTCCAGCCAGTTTTCCAGTTAACAGCTCCTATCATTATTTCTCTTCTAGAATTACAACCACAGCTGCCTGCATGATGGACCTAAGGCGGTACCCACTGGATGAACAGAATTGCACCTTGGAAATCGAGAGCTGTAAGTCTTTCTGAGAATTTTTTGTCGACTGCATACAGCTTCAAGGTCAAATTTAGGTATCATGCTATTCAGCAGGGCCTCTGCTTCCACCTCTATAAAATGGGCAGAACATCTGCCAGTAGTGTGAGGTTAGGAGGTTTAAATGAGCAGATGGGAAATGTCACACTTGGTGTGGCCCAGGCCGGATATCTAACTACAACTTTGGGAATTTTTGCTAGTTTTGTTAATTTTGCTGCTATGTCTACAGATTGCCCTGATTAAAAGATCTAGTTATATCAGATGAGGAGAGATTCAGAGCATCATTTTGCCCTTCACAAACTTTGTAGATTTTATGCTGGCCCAGGCTTTCACATTTCAAAGAATTCTCGTTATCTGTAGGTCCTCTGCTTTCTTAGAGATTATCTCAGCCAGCTGTGCTTATGAAGTAAAACTTTTCTTTTCCTTCTGTCAAATGAAAGGGGGTTAATAGTTTATTCATATTCCACAGTGGACGATTTAAAGTTCTTTGATATTTGTACTGATTGGCCTGAAAGGCTAGAGCATTTTCAAATGTGATGCATTCATGGTTTTGTTAACATGTAAACTGGTCAAAGACGACAGTTGTCACCAGCTGACAATCTAAAGCCTCTATTTTTAGTGTATTCAGTGATCAGTGTGAATGTATGAGGGTTTTGGCACAAAGGTTTTCTAGATGATATTCACTATACTTTAGAAGTAAAGGCTATAGAAATGTGCTTTCTATCTTACTGAATTCCATTTTAGGTATCATTGAAAACAACCTGTTGCTAGTTCATTGGTAAAGTAAAGGATCTGTGTTCTTTACAACCATTTCATTCTAAACAGTGCTCAATAAAGATATCAGGAGATACAGCTTGAGGTTCTTAATACAGCCCCAACAATGTTCCGGGGTTACTGTTGGCTCTACACTCAGGAATTACTCTTGGCAATGCTCAGGGGACCATACAGGGGACCATACCACGAGCGAGATAAGTGCCTTACCAGATTTACTATCACTCCAGCCCCCTCTTAGCCTAAATTAAACGTGGCAGAGTTACTGTCTTCTTGATCTAGCCTGTGTTAAGGACTTCCACTATTTCAGAAGATCAGTGCATACAGATTTAAAGAGAATTTAAAGAAAACTGCATTGTGTTGCTCCACTCCAACAGTGGACGTTGATGGATAGTATCTTAAAGTTTGTCCGTAGATTCATAATACTTTTCCCAGAGGAAGTGTTCTATATGCTAGTGTAGTTCAATGGATGAGAACATGGATTGAATATTGGTAGCTTTTTGCAGTTGTTTCTCCCAGCTGGTTCAATGGGCCACTTAGCTTCTTCACACTACATTCTCTTCTGTATAGTACTATGACACCCACTGGTTATAAGACAATCAAGATAGATCTTTGTGCAGTGCTTGATACAAATATTTCCGTAACAACCATTATCATGATGGCATCATTATTATCATTGTCAGGTAGCACCTGGAATATTGTGCTCAAGTTGAGTGAATATCTTTGAGAAGGATATGTAGAACTTAAAACTAAAATTTGACTTGTGCAAAGCTATGAAGTATAAGGAACCAGTAGAAGAAGCATATGGGAGACAGGATACATTTACTGTGAAGAAGGGAAACTGCCGTATTTTAATGGAAGAGTTATTTTCAAATAGCAGAATTTACTCTAAAGAAAGCACTTTCTCCTGTGGGGGGGAAACAGACTAATGGTAAAAAAGCCAAATGCCAATTTAAGGCTTAAATATTAAAACCGTATATGGTCATAGCAATTATAGATGTTGAAAGAGCCCGTAAATTGCTGTATACCATAAGACTGTTTTCTGAAAACGAAGGAATTGAGTAAGGGGTTATTTGATTTGTTGGGGTAGGTAAACTTCCCAAGCAGTTCTTAGAGGTCCCTAGGGCTTCCCTAGGCTTACTCAGTCAACCAAGTTGGTGGTTAAGTGTTAGAGACCAAGGATGTGGGGTTGCTTAGGCCCTGCAGAGCCAGGGTCCTCTAAGGCCATCCCATGATGCTCAGGTACCAGGTGGGGCTGACAATTGCAGTTGGATCAGGCACTTGACCCTGTACTCCCACTTGTTGTGATTATTTAGTTTTTAAGGAGCTCGGGGTCAGTGGTAACCTGGAGCAAGTAAATGTATGTAGGAATTTAGTTAAAGGACATTAAGGCAAATTCTAGGTTACATGAGGATAGAAATCCCACAGGCATTTGCCTCTGGGAGCAAAGCTATTTGGGAAAAGATGAAATTCACAACTCAGATTTTAGCTAGAACTAATGTGTACGATTTGCCAATGATCTGTTGTTATTTAAGTAGAAATCGCTCTTTTCTTAGATTTTCTTCACAGGAATATTTTTTACAGTTGAGTCTATGAGGACTAAGACAGACCCTCTGCATTTTCCAGTCTTGCTAAATAATCTAGGATTCCCTTGAAACTCCTGGTCTCCTTACGACTTTAAGAATCATCACATTATCACAACATAAAATAAAATTTGTGTGCATGTGTTGAGAGAAATGATAAATAATGAAGCTACCTAATACCTTGGGTGATCTTTGAGTTATTTAAAATTGGAAAAGTATTTCTGGGATATTTCAGTGAAGTATAATTATGATTATCAAGGAAAAAGTAGGAGGTTTGTAAATACTTCATGGTTTCACTCTACCCAGGTTTAATTAGCATTGCTGTCCTATTTCCATTTTTTTAATTGTATGTAGAGGTAGGAGTGGTTATTGCCTTCCCATCCTTGCTCTGTAGAGACACTACTTTGGAATATAATCTTTGTGTAGTAAGTTTTAATACTCTTCTAATCAGGGTTAATTGTGCCATTATGTGTATTCAGGAACTCAGGTACTTCATGCAAATTGGTTTAGATTGTCATATGTACCTGAACGTAAAAGCTTGTACCCTTTCGATTCTTCCATCATTGGGGGAATAGTTGTAGCTTAGATAAAAATGGTAGATCTTCACTTTGAGAATGAAAAGTGAAAACCAAATTCTCAAGATTTCACCCAAGTAAAGATAAAATTTTAAATGTTTACCATTTTTATCTATTTATTATTTATGGGTTTCCCTTTCCATACATCTTGGTTCAGTCAACATATCTGACTGCCAGGACCCTGAATTAGTATTTGTAGATTTTTCATATTACTATTTTATTATAAATTATTAGTAGTATATCTGATAAATCATGCTTTTGTCTCTAAAGTCTCTTCCTTATTTTTGCATGACTCAATTTCTGTAGGTGTTTCTTCACTTTTTTTTGAGAATATAAACTTAAGGTCTAGCTTTTCTTTTTTGCTCTGTGATTCATTAGCATTGAGATGTCAGGTCTATATTGCTAGATAGTCAATACTATACTGTCAGTGGAAGTAGCTCTTTTGCCTCTAAGAACCACTGGTGAGGCCCCCAAAAATATAAGATAGAGTAGAATAAAGCAAATAATTCAGCTCCTCAATCACATTGCATATTTTTATAAACCAACATTATTTATTGATTCAATGTTGCTTGAGTATCCAATTAATGTGCCCAGCCTTATACTTGGTACTGTCACACTTTCCTGTTTCAGGTGCTCAGTTCACCACATCTAACTGACATTGCCACCATTTCAGCAGCATCTTAATAACACTGAGTGAAAAATAGAAGTAGTTTGTCAGAGAGATACCACTTAACCTCCAGCCTGAAGGCTTTTTTGGACACAGCATTTGTATCCATGGTGGCACCCTGCGCAACCTGCAGGCTATGTGGGAAGCATGTTTCTGATGTGAAATTAACAGATTGAAGCAGGATAAATTGAATACTCCAGAAACCCACAAATTATTGTGTATGTTAGCCCTTGAGTCAGTAGCATAGGAATGCAGAATATTTTATAAAAGATCAGTATCTTGCCAACCACATTTTTTCTTCTCTTCAGTACTACTACTTGTAAGATTCACCGTCACATAAATAAACCCCCACATTTAATGCAGTCACCTGTTGATAGATAGTTACAGATGTAAACGTGTACTGATCCCAAAACTACTAAAATGTAAAAGGAACCCAATGTGCAGTAGAAATGATGTGCAGTTTTTTTCCTTCTCTTGGATTTTGAGCTACTCCCGGTAGTAGCTCTACACTCAGGGATCACTCCTGTTGGAGTTCAGGGGTCCACATGAGGCTCTGGGGATCAAACCGGGTCGGCCATATACAGGGCAGGTGAGTGCCTAATCTTGCACTAGAGATAGTAATTCCTGACCCTGTAATTGTTTTCTTAGTGACAAAGAAAGCCATCGTTGTATTATACTTAACAGGACACACCAAAAAAGAAACAGGTCACAGTGTTACCATATTAGTGTGCCCCCATCTCACAGGCCGGTGTCTTCCTTTTCCTTTCATTTCCCGGAAGGCACTGTTAGGCTGTTTGTGACACCATTTGTGAAGTGACGCTGTTATGGTGTGTGGCACCCCAGTAACCACTGGCCCACAGGATAGTGTGGACTATATTGATCTGGCAGGTATCAAGACTGCATTAATATCTGACACATGAATCTACAGATACCTTTGAAATCTGGGTTTTAGATATGAAAATTTGGGAAGAAATCTTTGAGCAGTAGATAGAACCTCATAAGATTTTTTGACTTAATGACTTAGATGGACATCAGTGCAGATGCTATGAAAAACTCCGGTCAATTGAAGGCACAGGCTCCGATCCTTCACCTTTATTAAGCTGGCTAGGTGATTGAATAAACCCTGAGCCTAGTCACTGCTCACTCTGTCCATGTGACCCGCATGGTGGGAAAGCTTGGGACATGGTTGCGGGCTCTTAGCTCAGCATGCAGCTTTGAAGAACAGCATGGAGCAACTACAGGAAATCAAATGTCATTATGAGTTCTTAAAGGCGAACTGATTTCTTCAAGACTGAGTTCCCAAGTCCCTTAAGGAACTGACTGTTGCATGAGACTCTGCTCAGAACCCACGGTGAATTCATAACCTGTCTGAGGGTGGTGCCATCT